GAGCCATACTAATGAACCACCCTCCAAAAATCACTGTCCGCATTGCACTTTTTCATTTTATAGACTGTGGGCATTACATAGGAATAAATTTCTTCTTTCGCATTTCGCATCGTAATAAACAAATATGGGAAACACTGGTCACTTGATGTGCGCCGCTCTGGGCACATGACCTGTGTCGCTCTGTCACATCACCGCCTGGATTGCTTGTGGATAAGAATGTAGAGTTTGAGTTTGTGAGCCAGTTTGTTTTCACTTTAGTCATGGGGATATTTTTTCAAAGTTAGGATCGTTAACGATATATGTACTTATAGTTTGGAGTGGGCCGTTTTATCTCTAGCGTGATGAGGATAGTGACACAGCTCATAACTTTGTGTAAATAAAATATTCAGTCTCCATCTGCTGCAATAAAAAAGTCTCGACCGCAATATGACCATCTTTATTATATAATCCAGAGTATTTCGTGAAACATGAGCATGATAGACAGTATGCCTGTAACAATCATTTCAAATCTTCAATTTCAAGAGGCCATTTCATGCAAGTCACTGTGTTGTATCCTTGGACAAGGTTATTGGCTCCACTTGCCCCACTGTGATAGGACTGAAACAGTTGTTGTTCCTACAAGTGTTCCATAGGTGATAAGTCTGGTGACTGTGCTGGGGAAGATGTTGTATGGGGGCCATGTGTTGAAACTGGGTCCGGGGAGCCTGCTGCAAGAACGGTGGTACAACGGGGTAGAGAGATTGGTCAATGTAACACTGTCCAGTGATGTGTCCTTGCAAAATCACCAGATATGTCTTGACTTGGCTACAGATGCCGCATTGACTTGGCTACAGATGCCGCATTGACTTGGCTGCTGATGCCGCATTGACAGGGCTAAACGGATGCCGCATTGACATGGTTATTGATGCCGCCTCGATGTTTTAGGTAGATTCAGGGTTTATTATCCCCCGCCACGAAGTGGAAGGGGGATATAGGAATGGGTGCCGTCCGTCCGTCACATTTCGTTTCCGGAGCAGATCCTGGAAACCGTACCATATTTCTTCACCAAACTTGGCACATAAATAGGTCTACTGGTGAACTTGTGCCTTTTGATAGTTTGGGATTTAAAAAAAATATATTTTTCGAGTTTCCATGGCAACGACTTTGATTTAGACTGAAAATGGCGGTAGTCCTCGTTTCCGGAGCTCATCTTGAAAACCGTACCATATTTCTTCACCAAACTTGGCACATAAGGTCATCTCGCAGTATTGAATACATTTCCTTTCTTGGTGGTAAGTTCTGCATTGCTAGTGTGTATGTTCCTTCAAAAGTGTCATCGACACGGTTGTTGCATTCAGAACTTCATGCAGAAACACAATTCATTACAAATACAACAGTGTAACTGATCTTAAACCTACTCAACTGTATAAACACTGCCTCCTATCCTGTATATATTCTTGTCAACCATACTCTGTACTTCACTTGCTTGATAACGGTGTTCCAACCTACACCGAAACCATCGCTCCTAATTGTAATAAAGAAGTTGTTCGTCCATATGTCTCATCCTTACTCATTACAAATACAGTTACCTATTCTATCATAAACTGCAGATGGCCAAACAACACCAGTAATAACTTTTTTTAGTGCTGCAATTAGGCCATTTACAAAAAGATAGTTCACAGGAGCTAATGCACTGCACACAACCGGATATGTCATATTGGCGGTGGATATGAATATTTCATGCTTGTTTTCTTCATTTTTAGGGGCTGAGATTTTTTTCTTCTCATAAGCGAGCTGAGATTTCTTTTTTAAAGTCACATTCAAATTCAACCGATGGAAAGAATGTTAAGATTTTTTCACTGTCACTAAAACATACCAACTGTACAGATGTAGGTGATTTTAAGACAGAACAATGAAAATAACAGTATAATAAAGCTTTTTTATATAATAAAAACCATATATAACCATACGTAAGATCCGGCAACGTAAAGATGTGTTAATTGACATTCACAGATAGCACTGGAGAGGCTCCTGCCCGAAGGGGGCTTATGATTAGAGGGGATACGCTGAATGCTTGCTGCATACATTAAACAGAAAAAGGAGATAGAGTTTCTGTCCACTTTCTGTGGAAACATATTGAAACAATTAGGTATTTTGGATAAATGAAGTTTTAAGGAAACGTTTTGAAGGGTTTTGCATTATAACAATACCACTGAACGTCTTGGAGCTTTTGTTCTCAAAAGCGATTTAAAAACAGAGACAGTTTTGAAAGTACAAGTATACAGTAAACTGCATTTCTCCAACCACAAAGATAAGTTTTTGCCTCAGATTGGTCAGGATTAGGACATACTCACATACATCATCACAAAATAGAAATAGGTAACACCAGACCCATTAGACTCCCAATTTATAAGGAAAACCTTACAACATCCTTGCATCCCCATCCTTGCATATCCCAACCAAAACAAACCCTTCATCCCCACAACTGATGCAAACTGTAATTGGGTACATTTTAGGCCAACTTGATTCTCATGGCATATATTGTAATGATGTTTAGGTTATTGCAATAAACTGTTTTTATTTATATGTGTGTTTATGTTGTATTGTTTTCCAAGTAAGGGTAAATGATACTTAGTGGTCATTTCACATCACAGCCACTGTTTCAGTCATAATACAGTGGGACAAGCAGAGTCTGTCACCTTGTCCAAGGATACAGCACAGTGACTTGCATGATATGGCCTCTTGAAAATAAGGGTTACAGACATATTGTCTCTCATGGTGATATCTTTCTGTCAAAGATTATGGCTTTGCCCAGGAAATACTCTGTTTTGACGAAGATGGTCATATTGCGGTCAAGACTTTTTATTGAGGCTGAGTGGCAGATGGAGATTGAGTTTTTTATTTACACAAAATTATGAGCTGTTTTTTTCCAAACCGTGACTGTTATTCGGCTACAGTCAAAACTCCTTGCGACGTGGTCATGCGTTGCTACTTGATGTATCAAATCAACAGCATGTTCTCCCTGTTGTACCGTTAATCTTAGCATGTTCTTCGCGACTGTCCGACGGTTTGGGTGGGTCAAATTTAAGAAAACTGTACAGCTGGGCGTTTGCTACACATGGTTTTGTAAAAATGGTCTTTTATTATATACAAATGCTTTATTATACTGTTATTTAAATTGGTCATCTCTCTGTTATGAAGAAAAGACAAATCTCAGCCTCAACAAATGAAGAAAAAATACATGACTCTACCCCAAAAAACGTTTTTCGAATCTCGCTGTGATTTTATCTCACCAGCCCAGCCCAACACAAAAAAAACTTGTTCCCGAAAATACAGCGGTGACTACCTCCCAGCTTCTTCGTGTTTGCCGCAAGAGCCCACAAGCGGACGAGGTTGTTGTAATATGTCAGCTTGCTGATTGGGTCACTTTAGCTTATTCCAATCACTCATGCAGTCGAACACTGGTTTATTGCTGAGTGTGGCGTTAAGAAACTAACAAAAACTGGTGTGTCTGCTGTGATAATTTGCTGTAGTGGAGAAAACGAGTGAGTGACTTTGGTTAACTGCCGCTTTGAACATTATTTCAGTTATATCACGGCGTGTCAGCTTGACTGAGAAGAAAACAAGAGTTGATGCAGGTCTACGACGTTTACCGCTTTGGCATTCGAACCCACGATCACAGGTGTCTGGCACGCCTAAGGGACGCAACTCTTCACATACGACTTGGCAACCCGACCCTCAACTTAGGTATGTGCTGCTTTTCTTTTTCTGTCACTACCTACACATACGATAATTGATGTTAATCCCACAATCCTGATTCACACTTAAAATGCAAACAGCATTTCTCTGCAAGGCTATACACAGCAAACTACGGTTCACCCTTGAGATTGAATTCCCACAAACCCGTCTCATCCTCAGCACAACATTCATCGAAAACCATGACAACAGTAACACACGACGAACAATAGAACAATAATGTCACAGAAAACGGTGTTTTCTCTTCTCAAGGGAGTTGGGGGATGCTGATAAACAATAAAGATGCATTTTAATATGTTTTGAAGCATTTACCTGACATTTCCTGCTCCGAATTGGCGACAAACGCTTGTGTAATGCGGACAGTGAGCCATGTGTAATTCATTCCTGTCATACAGCGATCTGGGTGTCTCCGGTTGCAACACAATTCATTCAGTTTACGGAATCTCCATCTTTCGATAAATGATAATGAGCCATGCCCTTCGTGTTGAAAGGATTATCTCCCTTGGACCAGTTTGAGCGTATTTCGTTTGCGAGAATGTTTCCACGAAAACATATTTGCATATTTGATCACATTTGCTTATCGGTCTAATAAACGTAAACCTCGAAAAGCTTTTTGTGAATGTCGACTGCTGTTATTTGCCTTTCAGAAGTTTCAACTCTAGGGCGACCATGTCGTCGTCAACTCTCTTTACTGGTTAAAGTGGCCGGGCACTATAGGCAGTCCCGGCAAGATCCATTCAAGTCGACGTCTAACGCCTCTTTAAACAATTGGTTGTCTGCCGCTTCAAATTATGGTATATCTACAACTACACCACGGCTTAAACTACAACCTCAAGCTATTAACTCGTATACAGAGGAAATGGGAGAAGCCTCTCTCTAATGATATGCACCCTTGGTGTTCCACACTTTGTCATCCCTCTTTCCTCCATAAACTCGTTTAACCAGTTGAATAATTATATCTTATTTGAAATACGTCATAATACAGCATTATTTATCCCTTTGTGTCGATGTGGGTTTTTTTAAATTTCTGGATCGTTATGAGTCCCACTATTTATTTTATGTGGTCTTTTTTCATATATTTTGACACACAATATTAGAAGCTCAATGTGTATTTTTAAAATTTAATTTGGCATAACGATGTTTGGGTCGGTCGTCGGTTTAGTAGAATAATGCAAACTTCTTTAAAGTTCAGACAATTTCAGGTTTTCCGGTAACTTGTATTAGCATTTAATGTGACCAGAATATATATAAAAACACATTATATCTATTATTATTGCTTAAAGATAAGTCATTTTTCTGAAGATGTTTGTAGTTGTATTTGGTTTATTCTTCTTATCAATCAAAGACTAAGTGGATGGAAAAATAACATTAGGAGGCTATCAGGGAATTACATACAATATCAGCCTTCATGAACCACGTATATCTGCGACTGTGGCGTTCTCGTGGGTTACATAGAGCATATAAATTGTGAGTTGGCGGACCATCTGTTATATGTTATAATGTTCACTACCCACCTCGGAGTTCGTCATCAGAAGCTTTAAGGTCATTGACAAACAGACCGATTAGTGATCAAGCATCATGAATCAACCATGGAATGACGTTTCACAGATGAATTTAGTGTGTTGCCTTGAGATGTACTTTTTTTTATCACCTCCAAAGACTCTCATCAGTTATCAACAAGGGGATAAAGAAGTGCGAACTACCTAAAAGAACAACACTCTAGCCTATAGGTATGTCAAGATTCACAACCATCTCACGTTTCTACTTCGACGTCGACACAAGAACCTCCTCCCCTATGGCCTGAGACTGAAACCCCAGCACACTGTCTCACAGGTCATTAGCCATATTAATTTCCCTTCCGCTTAGCCCTATCTGTACTGCAAAATCCCTAAATGATGTCTAAATTCTCCTCTGGTTCTGATTCTCCCATCTCGCTGGAGCTCCTATTCATGTGGATTAGTTTGTTTCTTTCAAAATTATAAATTTTCAGGGTCTAAGCGTTAGCCGAATGTGACCATTTGCAGGACGTTTTATCAAACCACCAACCCATCTTCCAGATCGAAGTTGTCCACAATGTTTTAAACAGTTTAATAACAGAACTGAAAATGAATTACATTTTTTAATATCATGTCCATTTTATGAATATTTAAGACGTGCACTTTTAATAGTGTATGTTATGAAGTGCTACCTTTACAAATCTGACTGATTTTAACAAACTTTATCAAGTCTTGTTTGCAATCTATGAACGAAAGCAATTATTTACTTCATGAACATGATATTAATGCATTATGTATATTACAATGTAAGATATTGTCTGTCTCTATATTTGTATGTCATATTCACCCACTGTCATTCACCCAATGAAGGGGCAATGAGTAGCTCTGAAACGTGTGTGTACAATTAAGAAGTTGTTGCCCATAATGATACTTTGTCATAGAAAGACATTGTTAATCATAGATAGTATACATGTGATTGAGGTAATCGCATAGTAGTCAAACACATGGTGTAAGGTGTAAAACTGGAAATAAATTAATGTGAAACCAATATGCCTGTGGCCGCCGTGTTCATGTCGCCCATCAAGGTTTTCTTGTATATAATCATTATTTGAAATTTTAGAAGGCATGTGTTCCTGTGTATATCATTTTATGATGTCGATTAGTTTAAGTGGTGAAAATGTCTGCCATGATTAACAAATGCAAACGTCGGTTAACAACACGATATCCGACACCATATAAACATTTGCATTCTCTGGTTGAGAAGGGAGAATATGACTTATCTCCCTTTGTAATATTAAAACCGAGGGGGAGCTGTGGCGAATTTTCGGTGTGAAATATTTTTGCTTCCCATGGAAGTCAGCTACAATAACAAGAAAAGCCTGACTCCAATCACATTACAGTATGTGCAATTCAGTAATAACTTTTGAAAGAATGATACTAATACCCATTCGAATGTAAGATACTGTTAATGTCTGTGGGTCCATGTCGAAATACAATGACATATTTAGTGGATAAGGAATATTTTGTCATGGGTGCATATGTTAGTGTTCACTCAGCTGATCTGAAAGAATCACTTCGGTACGGGGTTACCTGGCTGTCAGCCAGATGTGTATCCGTAGGAGCTATTGTAACCCCCAGTCACTATGCACAAACGGACACTGACAAATATGTACACTGCATAGACGTTTCTGTGTAGCGTTGGCCGCGTTGAATGGAAATAAATCGACCAGACGTCACCTCAGGAAAACAGGCGGACAGGAACTTAGGTATTGGTAAAAGTCTCTCACTCTTAGGCCGAGGTTGCATGTCATGAATCACGGATCCTGCTGATTAATTTACAATTAGAATGTAACCAGAATTCATTTTGACCCCATGATCTTTATGTGTATCTAAGGAGTACGAAGCATGATGACATATGTGATGTATATTTCTAATGTGTGATCGTGTGGCACGTTAGATTGGACAGTGAATGACAGGTTGAACTTTTGACAAATTCAGAATGGCGGCACCTCCGGAGTCCAGCTTCCTGGCGTTAATAGAGGCAGTTTTAAGCTTAGCTGCTCCCCCCATGCCAAGGCCCAAGCGGTCCACTCATCCTATCAAGGCAGGGGGTTATTCCGAGGACATCTTTTTGAATCTGACTGAGGAAGACAAAGAAGAATTTGAGTGTTCAATATGGTTTGTCCTTTATTGGCTTGGTAACATGATTATGCAAATTAATATCATGATCCTTGATAAGTCTGTTTTCTTTCAAAACGAGTGTGCATTCACTTTTTGCTTATGCCATTTTATAAACTCATTTGTCATGGATTATGTCAGATTGAATTGTTGACTTACTTTGGTTAACTTGTGGTCAGTGGACTATATTCCATTACAATGTTTTATGGTTGTCCATTAATGTAACAATACAACTATGATATGTTGATTTGAGTCAAAATTGATCTCCAGATTTGGTCACATTAGCCCCATTTATCTTGGCAAAACAGACCAGTGAAAAATATCAGACTGAAATTTTGTGTGTAAACAAAAACAAGTATATTCAATATCCCCTTTCAATGAATTTAGTACATTCGCAAGCGCACACAAACACTTATATATTCTCACACATGCACAGGTTCGCAATCATATTTGTTATTTTACACTCGAGTCTTATATTATTAATTACTTTTTGTGTATCCAACATACTTAGTTCTATTCTAATATATTTGTTACTTAATGTATTGTTTAAGTATGGTTGCGAAAGTATGTGTGAATGTATAAGTGTGTGCATCATATGTTGCATAATTAAATTAATAATGGCTTGAGTGCGCTCCTACATGAGTAATTCACAATTATATTTTGAAATGATTGTCAAACATAAAGTGTTGTCATGCACCGGTCTTACTAACAGTAAAACGTGAGGTTGTATATGTAAAGAACTTAATCATATGTGTTATTTACTTAAATATATACTTTATATATATATAGGGCATATCCTACCCATACGCATGCGGAGCATGTTTGCTCCTGTCATTTTTCATGTTAATGCCCATGTGCTCTGTTGTTTCAGCTACCAGATCCTAAAGGACACCATGCTGTGCAGCAACAAGCACAAGTACTGTCATTCTTGTATCTATGTGTGGTCAACCAGTGGGGTGCATCTCAACAGAACACGGTGTCCAGTCTGTCGAACTAACGGCTCCTATTCTCGCAACACAGAGTTGGACAACAAGATAAAAGTGAAAGAGGTTAAATGCAGTATGACTGGATGCAACTGGACTGGGAAGTTGATGTACCTGTTGAGCCACAGACACACAAACTATGACAGTAATAGTAACCCGTGTCCTGGGGACAGTATTGATGCCGAGTTGCCACAGCTTAGGAGGAGGAGTACACCACGGACACAACCCATCACCAGGACTGGTCTTCAGTTTCCCACCAGGCATTTACACTTAAGGTCGTCACTTCCATCAAACACAATGAATAGAGGTTTAAATAACTTAAGTTCACTGAGTGACAGTAACAACAATACATTGAGCAGTAGAAACACTTTTCTCAGCCGAGACAACTCAGATGGTATTGTCCATACACCAAGACCGCCTTCAACCCCACGACCACCTCAGCAGGTTGTACGCAGACTACCAACTCTTCCATCCCTGCTGCAGCAGGATTCGCCAAGGCAAAATGTACATAGTACCAACATTTCAACACCAAGTTATCCAGCACAGCCTTCTGAAGTGTCCACACGGACTCCAGTCCAGCCCTCAACTCGGACGCAAGTCAGTAATAGTCTTACTCAGATCCGAGATCGCCTTCATGATAGTAGGTCAAGACTTGACTCCTTGATGACAACCTTTGGTACTGAATTAGAACAGCGACAGCAAGAAGTTTTTGATGTTAATGCTGAACGTGAACGTCATCGTCAGGAACAGTTGCAGGAAGTTCGTGAACTTGGTCGGAGACTGGGGCAGGTTGCATCAGAGCTTAGACGCCTGCTGAATCAGAGGTCTGCTATCAGAGGGGAGATTAACAACCTTATGGAGAACTAACCTCAATGTACTTGCTCAAATTCATAGCAAATCCTCTAAAGAGAGTTACAATATAAAAGAACATTATTGTCATATATTATTGTCAGCAACAATGTATGGAGCATTGCACTATTCAGCACAATGGGTTATTGAGCCAGCTATGCGCAAACTTTAGATGCTTTGCAAAACTGTCCAAGTCTGATAGTATTTATGTTTTGCTTGATATTTATTGGGCCATTAGCTTCAGTGGTTATCACCCGCTGTATACTGGGTTGATTGGACATGTTACATTTTTTCGTATCATTGATAAAGAACGTCAGTTGACATGTGAACTGATTATATAATGACACATGCAACCCAAAAATATGTAAAGACTGTCATTTGTCCAATGCTTAAGCCTCCTCATTATATCCTTGTACAACTACATTTTGTGTTTGGAAAAAGATTGCTTGGTGAGAGTGCCTGTGTCAGTGTCATCACAAAAAGTTATTCATTCCAACCAAGTTCAGCAGCAGCTTTCAGTTGAAAACTTAAGAAGCTGAATGTTATATTTAGGCCCCTCTAAAATTACTTTTTGTAAGTTCACCTGAACTGAAAGTTGATGTAAGCCGGTGCATTATATGTCAATCTTTTTGTCCATTCAAAACCTGTATGTCATTGCAACCTTGCACAAAATACAATAAACTAACTCAATGTATTGAACAATACATCAATATTGAAAGTATTTATCGTTTTGTCAAAAAACTGCATGATGTATCATTATGAAAATGGCTGTTATAGTCCCAGTGAAACATGTCAGTTTTTTTGTTGTTTTTTTTGATATTTGTCACAAATTGGACCTTTGACTTTAATGAACAGCTATGGCTGCCAGGGCAAATATGTCGGAGATGCAAGTTTGACTGTCTACTCAGCAAGTGATTCATTTTTCAGTGTGTTTCAAATAATCCAGAAAAATTTAAGTGTGCTACAGTCACTTGAATGTATTTCCTATATACATGTTTAATTCCAGACATGAGAATTTTCCTTGGATTCCTGGAATTCCGAGATTTTTCCTCTCAGAATGATGTAAAATGCACTTTACTTGGGGGTGGGCGATTTTCCTCCAAAAACAAGTTTTGCTGTTCTCATGTCTGTAATTTATAGATATTGGTGTGTTGACATAGATGTATTGAAATAGAATGCTTTCCTTGAATCCCCATCATACATGTAAACAAAACAATAAGTGTATGTCAAATTGTCATAGCATGTTTGTGGACATTTGATCCATCTTTATCAACTTAGCCTATGTAATTTCGATTGCCTATCCAATTAATATTTATATACTTACTGGTACACACAGTAACACAGCATGTGACACTGGACATTCAAATTCTCCTGGAAGACTGTATTACCGTGATGAAGGGTTGCTATATATATGATAAATTATTGAGGGTTGTTGGCCATCAGAAGAACAATTTAAACTGTTGCTGTATAATGTCAAAGGTTTGTTAGTTCTCCAGCACAATTTCCTATATTTGTCTTCTTTGGGTACTGAAGATCTTAGATTGCATTAACTGGGCACAGCAAAATCAATCCTTTCATGAAGTCTGCTCTTTGTCATGATTTGATTGTACTTCTGTTGGGATACATTTCCCCCAAATCATATCACTATCTCTCACTCAAACATTTTATGAACGAATCAGATGGGTCCATTCCCATGACACTATAGCCTTAGATGCTTAGCTGTTATACGGATACGTCAAGAAGCGGTTGGCCACAACTCAACATCAATGAAGAGGTGTGGCTATACCTGTTAATCCTATGAAAATATCATTGCATTCATTGTTTAACAACCTTTGATCTTGATATTGTGAGTAATCTAAATAACAATGTTGGTATGTAGCCTTTGATGATGAACATCATGTTTGGGTACAATAAGCCTGTTCCATACTATGAATGTCTGGCAGGGATTATTCCCTTAAGTTGATAACTAAAGGCATCTTCTGTGTTTTTACTAATTCATGGCATAAGTTGTAGACACGGTAATCAAATAGATGAGCAGACAGAATAGCCCTGTTGCAGTAGTTTATAAACTTTAATGCCTTGATGCATCAAAATCTGCAAAGATGCTATGGCCAGTTAGTTTATTTGCCCTTTAACGTGTTGGGTGGAGAGAGGGTTTGGACATTATATTTAAGATTTACCAAATTGGATAATGAATAGTTACTCATAATAGTCTGTTAACTGACTCAGTTGATATGAAGTAGGACACACAGACCGTAACTGGTTATGCTAAGTGATCCGTATAAGATGGTCTAAGGTCACATGGCCAGGCTAAAATAGTGCACTTTTTTTTCTAGAGAATAACTGTTGATGATTTGTGTGATCGTATGTAGCTTAGCCATGGTCACTGGCCAGACAAGATGCATGGTGAGAATTCCCAGCCATCAGGTTTGAGGGAAGTTTCTTCTCAGTGTGCATAAGTGTCCTGATATTGCATGCACTTTTGAACAACCTTTAATTGTTCAAATATGGTATTTTAACCTCATTTTGAATATTGTCATCATTTAATGTAAGTTTGTGCAGAGCAACAGGTTATATTCACTGATCAGTGGAATCAGGAAAGGAACCAGGGCTGTTGTTCTGCCGGACTTCACTGATCAGTAAACCCAGGAAAGGAACCAGTGCTATTGTTCTGCCGGACTTCACTGATCAGTGAACCCAGGAAAGGAACCAGTGCTGTTGTTCTGCCGGACTTCACTGATCAGTGGAATCAGGAAAGGAACCAGGGCTGTTGTTCTGCCGGACTTCACTGATCAGTAAACCCAGGAAAGGAACCAGTGCTATTGTTCTGCCGGACTTCACTGATCAGTGAACCCAGGAAAAGAACCAGTGCTGTTGTTCTGCCGGACTTCACTGATCAGTGGAATCAGGAAAGGAACCAGTGCTGTTGTTCTGCATGACTGCCAATGAATGATCTGCCAATGTGTGTTAAACTAAAATCAAATACTTTTTTTAGCAATGTTCATTTTACATATCAGCTATTTGATTGTTTGGTTTTCTCATCATTTGTATATAGATATTTTAAAAATATCACCTAGTTTGTAAATGGGTATTATTTGCATTGTGACTACAGGTGATCAATTCAACAAATAAGCAATCAAAACAAATGTCGTATCACTTCCTCAATCAGTAATATTACAGTGCTGATGTCTATTGAATACACATGTATATTTCAGAACCTTTCCATTCTTCAATCTGGTCTTCAGTGGTGTACTTTTTCTTATATATTGTTCTGGAAAGTACATGACTAAAATGCACTGAACAACAAAAATTCCAGTGACATTGAATAAGATTTAATGCAAAGTTATGTTTTTTACCAAATCTGAATTTTTTTGGTTTGCAACAGATAAAAAACTCCTGTAAGTGTTCAAATGGTTTAATTTGCCATACTGACTTCAGAAAATGCGTGATTTCATAAAAAACATGAACATGCCAAAATGTCAATTTACAAATCAATAGCGTGTGTGTCCACCTCTGGTTGCGATGCAAGCAACACATCTTCGTCTCATGGAATGGACCAGGCATCACACAAAGTCCTGTGCGATTTCTGTCCATATCTGCTGGAGCATGTTTCGAAGTTCCTGGAGTGTCTGTGGAACACCTGGTTGACGTCAAAGGCGCCGATCCATCTCATCCCACATGTGCTCGATTGGTGAGAGATCAGGGGAGCAAGCCAGCCAGGGGATGACATTCATGTTGTTTTGTTGAAGAGAATCCCGAACAAGTCGAGCAATATGAGGCTGGGCGTTGGAATGTTGAAAGGTAATGCCTGGGCCATGACGACGCATAAACGGTAGAACTACAGGGCCAATGATCTCGTTGCGGTAGCGCTGTCCATTGAGATTTCCCTCTACCACTATCAAACAGGTCCTCTGTCTTGCTGTAATCCCACCCCATACCATAACGCTGCCTCCCCCGAACCAGTCTTCTTCCATGACACAATGATTGACATAATGTTCGCCTCGACGTTGGTACACTCGAATCCATCCATCGCTGTGGCTGAGGTGAAAAGAGACTCGTCAGTGAATAGAACTTGCCCCCACTGCATGGCCGTCCAGCATAGACGCTGTCTGCACCACTGTAGACATGCTTGACGGTGGTTTCCTGTCAAAATGGGACGTCTGGCGGGTCTTCTGGCGACAATTCCTGCACATCTGAGGTGACGACTTACAGTTTGTGAAGATATTCGTTGAAGGCCAAGGATGCTTCTTGCAGTCACCGTTGCTGGCTGAAATCGATTTCGTAGGTGTGTTGTTTGAATCCAGTTGTCTTGTCGAATATTGATTACGCGTGGCCTGCCACTCCGAGGATGGTCTCTGACTGCAATTGTCTGTTGCCAAAGTTGCCATGAACACCACATGGTGTTTCTGTGGGTGTTAAATTGTCTCGCAAAATCACGTTGACTCGATCCTGCTTCAAGCATACCAATGGCTCGCAGACGTGGCAGGCGTGGCATTTCGTAATGTTGAATAATTGTGTAATTTTGTTGTTTTTATGAATGGTTGTCAGCACGATGCTAAACAATGCATATGGAATCCTGTTAACGCACATGTTTTTATACCCATTCTTGGGTAGTGAAATGCATAGGGCTTGCATAAAAGTCAACTTTTGCAAGGAATGCATGCTTTTCTGTAGCAGTTGCGTTTTTTTGACTTGATTCCATACATGTACTACAATATTGAAAACCAAACTTTACTTGTTTAAAAAATACACTAAAATATTGGTGTCACAGGAACTTTTGTTGTTGAGTATAGCTTGTTTGGCGCTTACTATACATCAAGTGTTATCCATGGCAAGGGCAATGTTTCTCCCACAATGTACACGGTATAAGGCTTACTGGATCCATATCCCTTCGTTGGCTAAATGAGGACTAATGTCCAAGCAGCATGTTGTGTCATCTGTATTGTAAGATAATTAGATCTTTGTTTTCCCCCAAACAAAATAAGAATATTTTCATGGAATGCATGTAATGCTATTATCTTAGAGAGGAAACTAATATGTTGTTATTGTGAATACAGGAAAATATAATCATTTTGCTCAAAGTTATGTTCAGTGGACAAGATAAAATTGAAGGAGTGAACTAAAGTAGATCTACCATAATGCATGTAAAAGGCAGTTCCTGTAGTTTCAATCTATTGTGTCTAGTTTGTTGATGTGTATACATGACAAGGACAGGTACTTCTACCCTGCCACTTCACGGACATTAATGATTGCTACATGCTGTCATAATTTAGCTGGTGTGTACCATGTTAAAAAACAACAAACAAAACAAATATTGTTTATACTTGGTATTTTTCTCAAGCCAATAACAGCCCACCTCTGTGGTCTAGTGGATAGAGTTTGCCTGGAGAGAGGAAGGTTGGTTCGATCCTTGGCAACATCATTTTTTTTACATAAGATCAGATGAATGAAGACAAAACCAGGTGAGCACAAGCACCTGAAGTGTAGCAACATTTCTCATTTCCAACAAACCAAAATAGGAGTTTAAGTTATTGATGTCACAATTTGTCAGTTTTAAGTTTGACTTGTGTGTGTACATAAACTACAATCAGTATTGTGTACGTGGGTGTTAGTCATGGCCTGATACACTTATTGCCTATATCTCTGACATAGCTCTAGGCATCAGGGGCTACTTTGACTTCAACTCAATGACCAATGTGTGTATGAGACTGATAGATTGCCAGATGCCACAAGGGTCATTAATCATTAGTGCTTCAAAATATCAATTATGTTGGGAAGGGCTCACTAATTCCAAACAGTTTGTGTCACATAATTTGATGTAGAATTTAAATCAATGTATATTATGTTGACAGTGTAAATAGCTTGTCAACCATGTGTGCCAACATTGAAGGTTTAGTATTATCAGTTAGAGCAGAGATTTCAGTGTAACTCTCAAACTGTGATATCTTCTTTTGTTTTTTGTCATACAAAATGATTAAAAAAAATAAAACATTCACAAAATCAACCATGTGTTTGTCATGTTTGTCATGCCATGTGGGAAGAGACTAGCCAGCTATTGTTGTACATGTATGTAATATGGTAAGAGTGTGAATACATGTCTTCTTCACAGATCTTCACACAAGTTAAAACTCGATTTGATATGTTGCTGCAATGTTTGTTTTGACCTAAATTGGCCTGTTCAAAACACTTGATGAATTTGAAAAAACCCATCTAATGATACCCTGCCTAATAAAGTAATGTTCAATGAAAACATTAATGTCATACAAGTATCAGTGTTTAATTTCTCGATTGCTGCATTAAAAGATTCATATTGCATAGAATTTTAAAATCTTCCATCTTTTCAGTTTTGTGATTACATGCCATGAATAGATATGATTACTTCTCTTGAACTATAGACCTGTGAGTAATTTGTCTTTCATGTCCAAAATCCTGGAAAAAGCTGTGAAAGTCAGGCTTACAGATTATATGGAACAGTATGGCTTATATGATAAGTTCCAATCGGCTTACAGACCAGCTCACTCAACAGAAACTTGTCTTCTGAGAGTCATGAATGATCTGCTGGCAGCTGCTGATAAGGGCAAGGTAGGACTTCTTGTCCTTCTTGACTTATCAGCGGCATTTGACAACATAGACCATAGCAGGCTACCACGTCGTCTTGAGTCTAATCTTGGTATAACAGATGTTGCACTTGCCTGGTTTACATCATACTTGTGTAACAGAAAGCAGGCTGTTTCGATTGATGGCATGTCATCTGAAGATTCAACTCTTTGTTATGGAGTCCCCCAGGGTTCTGTATTGGGACCTCTGTTGTTTGTGATTTATATTTCTCAGTTAGGCAAAGGTACAGACACTTTTGACACTAGTCGTCTTGGTTATGCTGATGATAATCAGCTCATGAAAGTCTTCACACCTGGTGACTCAGCACAGGTGATAGCAGAATTGCGAATGTGCACATCTGCGATCCAGACATGGATGACACAGAATCGTCTGAAGCTCAACCCCGATAAGACCGAGGTCATACTCACTGGGAGTAGCCGATCTGTTGCATCAATATCCGAATCATTCTTGACTGTTGATGGAGTTGATATCCCCTTTTCTTTGACTGTCAAAGACCTCGGAGTCATCATTGACCAAAACCTGACCATGGATTGTCAAGTAAACAATATCTGCAAAAGTTGCTACTTCCACATTCGAAATATCAGTCAGATAAGACCCATGTTGACATACGATGCGGCACATCAGCTCGTGAGATCACTTATCCTATCCAGGTTGGACTATGCTAACAGTCTGCTTATTAATATCAAACAGGATCTATGTAGCAAATTGCAACGTGTGCAGAATGCTGCTGCCAGATTGATATGTAGACGAAATAAGCGTGCACATGTCACTCCTTTATTAAAATCATTACACTGGCTTCCAATAAGATCTAGGATTGAATACAAAGTCGTGTGCATTGCATACCAGTGCTACTATAGTACAGCACCTTCCTGTCTAAGTGAACTTACCCTACGCCAGCCAGCACGAGATCTCAGATCAGCACATAAACTCCAGTTTAGTGTCACTATGGTCTCACTCAAAGCATTCGGCAACAGAACTTTTGCTCACACTGCATCTGTGCTCTGGAATCTCCTTCCAGTGGAAATTAGGCAATCTCCAACTCTGGACACTTTCAAGACAAAACTAAAGACTTATCTCTTTAGATGTGTCTATGACCCTATGTGAGGCGCTATGAGCGACTACGTAGAGGGAAATGGCGCTGAAGTTGAGGGTAACTACTGGAGTAATACAGTTGAGGGTAACTACTGAAGTAATACAGTTGAGAGTAACTACTGAAGTAATACAGTTGAGGGTAACTACTGAAGTAATACAGTTGAGAGTAACTACTGAAGTAATACAGTTGAGGGTAACTACTGAAGTAATACAGTTGAGAGTAACTACTGAAGTAATACAGTTGAGGGTAACTACTGAAGTAATACAGTTGAGAGTAACTACTGAAGTAATACAGTTGAGGGTAACTACTGAAGTAATACAGTTGAGAGTAACTACTGCAGTAATACAGTTGAGGGTTACTACTGAAGTAATACAGTTGAGAGTAACTACTGAAGTAATACAGTTGAGGGTAACTACTGAAGTAATACAGTTGAGAGTAACTACTGCAGTAATACAGTTGAAGGTTACTACTGAAGTAATACAGTTGAGAGTAACTACTGAAGTAATACAGTTGAGGGTAACTACTGAAGTAATACAGTTGAGAGTAACTACTGCAGTAATACAGTTGAGGGTTACTACTGAAGTAATACAGTTGAGAGTAACTATTGAAGTAATACAGTTGAGGGTAACTACTGAAGTAATACAGTTGAGGATAACTACTGGAGTAATACAGTTGAGGGTTACTACTGGAGTAAAACAGTTGATGGTAACTACTGGAGTAATACAGTTG